CTGGGAACCTGGCTGGGAGGGACATGATGAGGAAATAAAGAATCAAAAGGAAGGTTTCTTCACAGTCAAAGAAGATGACTTGGCAGGTTACTCTTTAGGCTTCTTCCACGAAGATGTTTTTTTTTGTTTGTTTTGCTGCTGGTAGCATTCTGAAGAAACAGCATAGGAAAATAAAACAGTTTCCCTTTTTTATACTGCCAGAAGAAGTAATGGGGGTTCCTTGATATGGCCAACCTGCAAAGTACATAACATATAAGCAAGCTCAAAAATAAAAAGGAGAAATCTACTCCCACACACAAACAGCCAGTCAACTACAATTGCTACAGTAGCAAATACCACATATGTACAGTATTCTCTGTGCCTAAACAGAGGAAACCAAACCCATCATAAGCTTGCTAGGTATCCACCACAATGAGTTGTAGCGATAGGAACAGATAAATGGCTTCAGCTTTGGACCAATAACTCCATAAAACATACTACCATGACCTGAATAGCTGTGTGAACTGGAATACAACTGGTAGTCACTTCTGATTGCAGGGCCGTTGCAACAAGAAAGCCAATATAGATAATAAAGTAGGAACCTGTGCTGCTTGCATAACTTGGGGACTTCAATTTTCAGCTTGGCAGTGATGCATTAGATACAAAGCCTAGATGTTATACACAAGGGAAGAGGTGAAGAAGGGGTAAATGTACAGGTCACATAGATTGTAGGGATGCACCAATACCGATATCGGTGCTGGTACAGAGCATTTTCACAAGTACTCCTGATACCAATACAGTGCAATTTGCATCAATGGACGCATATTCCACAGCAAAGAATAGCATGCGATTTGAACAGGAATGTGGTATGATTTTTGTCCAAATAGCATACGGTTTCCACACTGCTCGTGTGAACCCAGGCTTGTCATAGCCTGAATTCACACAGGCGCTGGGCGGGAAGCCTCCCTGCACCAGACCCATGCAGGCACAGAACAGATAAGTTGATCAGCACAGAAAGCTGCATCCTCACCTCTGTTGTGTATTCTCCAGTGGAGATCTCTTTGTGAAGGGGGGAGGGGCAGGCCAATCAGAAGCTGTCTAGCCCGTACTGTCATCCCTGCAAGGAGAGAAGAGAAAGCGCAGGACTTTCAAATCCCCCAGACCTCTCCTTGCAGGGATGAAACACAGGCTTGTGTTTCAGCCCCATGCCCTCCTTCCCTAAGAAATCTCCAATGGAGAATACATGGAGGGGAAGATGCAGCCTCCCATGCTGATAACCATGACTGTGCTGCTGGAAGGAACTGGCTACAAGAGACACAAAGTGGTGGTACAGCCAGACCACGCTGGCCAGGATCAGTATCTGCACTCCCAGAACCTGCTCCTGGGTGAGACAAACCCATCTCCTCCATACACCACCCCATCTTCTCTAAGTCAGGGACCCCATCTTTAGACAATGCTGTCTGGCAGGCCTTTTGCTTAGGGTGCCAGGATGGGGGTGGGGGGGGGGGGGGGATAAAATCAGAATCCACAGCCACAGGGAGGTTTCCTGCGCCGCTCCTGTGTGAGCTCAGGTTATGACAAGCCTGGGTTCACACAGGAGCAGTGGGGAAACTGCAAGCTATTTGGACAGGAATTGTACCGCATTCCTGTTCAAATCACATGCCATTCTTTGCAGTGCAATCTGCATCCATACATTTTGTATTGATGCAAGTCGCACCACAAAGTATTGATACTTGGTTTCGGTGAGTAATTGACCGAAAGTATCAGTACTTGTATTCACTAATCAAAAAAGGGTACCAGTGCATCCCTAATACATTTTACTTACAAACAACAGTAAGTGGTTAACCTTTCAAGAAATTTTTGAATTTTATTAGTGGCCGTCAGGAATTTCAGTACTACCTATTTATGTCAGGTTTTCTGTTATGTGAAAGACAGCAGGGAACCTGTACTGGATGTGCTTGGGAACGCCCTAGGTTGCAAGAAAAAGTATGTGAACCCCTTGGGATTACGTGGAGTTTTGCATGAATTGGGCATAAAATGTGCTCTGAACGTCATCTAAGTCACAACAATAGAAGAACACAGTCTGGGGGGGGAATACTACACAAACATTAGATGTTGCCATGGTTTAATTGCACATAACATGTAAAAATTCACAGTGCAGGGAGGAAAAAGTATGTGAACCTTTGGACTTAATAACTGGTTGACCCTCCTTTGGCACCAATAACCTCAACCAAACGTTTCCTGTAGTTGCAGATCAGACCTGCACAACGATCTGGAGTACTTATGGACCACTCCTCTTCACAAAACTGTTTCAGTGTAGCAATATTCTTGGGATGTCTGGTGTGAATCGCTCTCTTAAGGTCATGCCACAGCATTTCAATCGGGTTGAGGTCAGGACTCTGACTGGGCCACTCCAGAAGGCGTATTCTGTGCTGTTGCAGCCATTGTTTTGTTGAATTACTTGTATGCTTTGGGTCATTGTCCTGTTGCATCACCCATCCTCTGCGGAGCTTCAGTTGGCGGACAGATGGTCATACGTTTTCCTGCAAAATGTCTTGATAAAACTCTGGAATTAATTTTCCCATCAATGACAACAATCCGCCCAGGCCCTGAGGCAGCAAAGCAGCCCCAAACCATGATGCTCCCTCCGCCATGTTTTACAGTGGGGATGAGGTTTTGATGTTCGTGTGCTGTGCCTTTTTTTCTCCACACATAGCGTTGTGTGTTCTTCCCAAACAACTCAATCTTGGTTTCATCTGTCCACAGTATATTTTGCCAGTAGTGCTGTGGAACATCCAGGTGCTCTTTTGCAAACTTCAAACGTGCTGCAATATTCTTTTTGGACAGCAATGGCTTCCTCCGTGGTGTCCTCCCATGTACTCCATTCTTGTTTAATGTTTTCCTTATTGTAGATGTGTCAACAAAAATGTTAGCATGTGCCAGAGATTTCTGTAGGTCTTTAGCTGACACTCTGGGATTCTTCTTTACCTCATGCAGCATTTTGCGCTGTGCTCTTGCAGTCATTTTTACAGGACGACCCCTCCTAGGGAGAGTAGTAACAGTGCTAAACTTTCTCCATTTGTAGACAGTCTGTCTTACCGTGGACACATGAACATCAAGGCTTTTTGGAGACACTTTTGTAACCCTTTCCAGCTTCATGCAAGTCAACAATTCTTGATCGCAGGTCTTCTGAGAGCTCTTTTCTGCGAGGCATGGTTCACATCAGACAGTGCTTCTTGAAACCAGTAAACCCAAAACAGGTGTGTGTTTTTTAAGGGCAGGACAGCTGTCAGCAACACATCCAATATCATCACACTGATTGGAGTCAAGGTTGGCTCACTCCTGGCTCCAATTAGCTCTGGGAGAAGTCATTAAGCTAGGGCCTCACATACTTTTTCCTCCCTGCACTGTGAATGTTTACATGTTATGTGCAATTAAACCATGGCAACATCTAATGTTTGTGCAGTATTATGTTGGGCAGACTGTGTTCTTCTATTGTTGTGACTTAGATGACGTTCAGCAGCACATTTTATGCCCAATTCATGCAAAACTCCACGTAATCCCAAGGGGTTCACATACTTTTTCTTGCAACTGTACATAATAGGCAAGCAATTCCATATTATTGAATTAATAACAAAACACATTGTGGGGGCCCTGGAGAAATATAACTGATAAAGTGAAGTAACAAGAAGGTTGAGCTCTCTGTACCTGTCTCAGGATTTCAATTTCAGCTGAGACTAAAATGTACAGTACTTCAAAGTTCCTGAACCTTTTTATGGTTTTTCTCCGCAATTATTAAAAATCCTTTTATATAAAGCAACCTGTACGTTTACTAAACAAGAGTAAATAAACCTGAAGCGTTGTCAGAACCAAACACTGGTGCAGTAGGTAGATTGCTTCAGGGCAACCATTAAAATGTGCTAACAAACACAGTGCTACATTATTACCGCCCTTGACATGCTTTGATTCAGAACTGAAAGAATTGTGCTATACATAGCCTTTGTTTATTCATCAGTACACCCATAAAACGGCCACTCCAAACTAATGTGTTCATACCAATTATCCCCTCAATTTATTACGACTTAAACTTGGTGCTACTGCTCTTTTCAATTAAAAGACTCTTCGGACTGCAGACACAGCCGTTTTATATGATTTGTGATCTTTGGTGTAACCATTAATGGTCTGCTGTAGGAAAAAAAAAATGACACAAAGCAAAAACATCTCAGCACAGTGTTAATGTATAAAAAGTTTATAAAATACTTTATTACAGCAAGCTGATTTGTATACAAAAATACATCTCAGATAATCTGCACAACTAATGTATAAACAATTCAGAGCAAAATATAACAAAGTTCACCCAAACATAAAACAAGATTGCTCTCTTTTTCCTGGCCGGTTGTAAAATGAAAACAAATGAACAGTTTAAAAAGTTATGAGAAAAAAAAAAAAAAAAGAACTGAGAAATAATTAAAACATTTATAAACTGAAATAAAGTTACGTTATTGGTAGTGGTACAGGATGATAACAAAACAACTCACTTTTACAGCATATAAACACTAAAATGTTAAAACCACAGGGGAAAAATACAATTACAGTTTTTACAATATATTTTTTTTGTCAACGTTAATACCCTGCACAATCATTCTTCCTCCATAAATGAAACATAATAAAAATAATTTATAAAACAAATTGTTGCAGTAATTAAACTGATCACACAAACTTGAACACATACATGAAAAGATAAAGTGTCTTTGCTTTGGAAAAAAAAAATGTGCCTTGTTTTTCAATCACAACAGCATGATGCGCCAGGGAGAAATGGCTATGTTTTTTCCCCTTGCTTTTCAAATCACACATCCACACAAACAACACTTAATCTTGGAGAAAATAGGTACTTTACAAATCTTTGAAAGTCAGCCCTGCCCGTGGGCAGTATCAAGCCTGTTTTCCTCTTGACAGTTTTCTAAATTGGTTCTGCCACTCTGAATTGCGCATCAGTAGTCAGATGAGTTTTTCTTTCTTCATTATGCCATTGTATAGCCATAGCTTCCACAGTGCAATGCCACAAGAAGCCTGTCCTTTAGGATTTCCTTGCTTGGGTATTCAGGCAACTTAAGCATATTGATGCTGTAACAGAAACGAGCAAGACAAAAAAAGAACAATATATATATATATAAAATCAAAGTCTGCAGATTAAAAAAAAAAAAAAAAAAGAAGATCCCCACAGGACAGGACACAAATGACATGATGTGATGGCATTAGTAACACAAAGGGCTATATATCCACCGTAAATCACCAAAACAGAATCAGCTTATGTAATAACAAACAGCAGTGAACAAAGTTCATGAATCCTTAGCAGCCTGCAATAGTTAATGTTTCACTGAGAAAACTGATAGATCTGTATTAATGACTACATTACGTTCATGTCATTGCCCTTTACACTGCATTGTTAAATGTATACTTTTTTTCTGGCCACTTGTGACTACATAATGAAATCATATTAAAGCTGCATGTTTGCTCTATAGCATATTATACACTGTGCTGTTTTTTTTCTAGATGCAACCTGCAGTTGTCTAAATTCCGAAAGAATTAAAAAGCAAAAACAAGATAATTGCTACCACAATGGAAAACCAGACCTTTCTCCTTTCCTGCACCATCCACAGACTTCAAGTTTTTGGCTACAGCACTGCATCAACAAAGTAATTCTGAAACCTCATCTCACCTCAACGCAACCTGGTGGCAGCCTCTTTTGCCTTAAAGGATAAGTTCACATTAAAAAAAAAAAAAAACATGCATTTATTTTTTATTAGGAGCCTGCGAAACATTGTACCTGCTATCAGAAGATTGTGATTGCAATCTCAGGCTCCTGCAGTGTAGTAGTCTGCCTATGGGCAGTTATTGAATGACAGGAAGAATCAATGAACTACCTAGAGCGCTCATCCGAACTCTGGTAGTTCATTGGGAAATACAAGCCATCAGCTGGTAATTGTAGTTCTCCCATTCACAGAACTCTTTTTTAAAATTGTGACAGCGGGTATAGGGAGTAGATTTCCAGCCTGCTGTCACAACAGGAGCTCGTGAAGGTGGGGGTGCAGGGGCTGCTCATTTAGTAACATGTTACACCCTAAATATGGGTGGAACATGTTACTAAAGGGGAAACTTATCGTTTAACCACTTGAGTACCACCCTGTATATACTCCATTACCAAACCATGTTTCAATTTTCGGTGCTGTGATAGTTTGACAATTACTTGCACCTACATAAAAGGTAAATGGCCAAAAATCAAGGAAAAAAAATCCACGACATTCTGACTGCCTATTCTATTTGTATGTCTTAGGGCCCTAAAATGTACAAACACCGGCAAAATTGGTTGGTCTAGCAAATATTGTATACATGCAGGGTCAGGACTATGTAATGCACAGCACTGCTTGTGGATTTCAGTAGTCAGAAATTAGTGCCCCCTTATGGCAGTGGTGAGAGGAAAGTGCCTGTTTAAACATTGATGAACAGAGGTGAGTGCCCCATAACGGTTATAGAACAGTGCCCCCCCCCCCTCCTATTAATTGGTGGTCAATGTGCCACTTTTACATTTAATTTCCCTCTGCTACACTGGGTACTCCCTTGTGCTCAGGGTTCCCACCTTATGAATGTGGTCAGTGTGATAAATGTTACCTACAGTGTAAAAACTGTTACAGGTGGTTAAAGGGTACATCAACTAGAGAAAAGGGCTGCCTCCATATGAGCCTGCTCTCTGTTTGTGTATTGCTAGCTAGGTTTGATAGCCAGTTTGGTTTAGATTTAGAGTCTGAACTTATCAGTGGTTGAAACAGTTTAATTAGTTGTATTGCTGCTTAGCTTCAAAAGTGTGTTGGGACCTTTTGTATTTATTTTGTATAAAACATTGTCCTTTCTCTTTTTTTGTTAGTTTCAAAAAGATCAGAGTGGCTACCATTGCATGCTTAGAAAAAACACATTGGTAGAGAGGAGGATGCACTGGTAAGCCAAGTTACACACTATAATTTTCCTTATTTTCTCCAATGAATGTTTCTGCATTTATTTATTTAATCATGCAGATTCAGCTGTTCTGCTGCAAGTCAGAACTTTTCACAGGATACAGTGCAGGGGAGAAATGAGAACATTTGGTTGGAAGGCAAATACAACCAACTGGCTCTTACATGGTAGAGACGCTTTCCTGTGGACTAAAAGGGCACCAAGTGAAGTATGCAGTAGTTCCACAGTGACTGGTGGGTGTTGTCTGTGTTAACATATTATTATTATACAGTATTAATATAGCGCTAAAAGGTTTGCTGAGTGCTGTACATTATAGTGGGGGACAGAACATGAGACAATACAGTAACAAAACAAAACACGAGGGGTTCAAGGGCCCTGCTCTTTCAAGCTTACAATCTAGGAGGGAGGGGATAGTGGTACAGGAGGAAGTGGCTGTGGGGGATGAAGTGGTAGGAGGAGTGGAGGAGATTGGCTGTTAAGTGAGGGCGGGGTAGGCTTCTCTGAAGAGATGGATTTTCAGGGTGCGCCTAAAGGTGAGGAGGGTAGGTGACAATCTGATGGATTGGGGTAGTGAGTTCCACAGGATGGGGGAAGTCCTGGAGAAGTCCTGCAGTCGGGCGTGGGAGGTGGAGACCAGGGAGCTAGAAAGTAGGAGGTCTTGTGAGGAGCGAAGATTACGGGTAGGGTGGTATTTGGGTATCAGGTCAGTGAGGTAGTTTGGGGCAGCGTTATGAATGGCTTTGTATGTCTGTGTTAGTAGCCAGTGGAGGGAATGACAGAGGGGGGTGGCAGAAGTGGAGCGGTTGGTAAGGTGGATGAGTCTGGCTGCTGAGTTCAGGATAGACTGAAGCGGGGAGAGTCTGTGATGAGGTAGGCCGGTGAGGAGGGAGTTGCAGTAGTCCAGACGTGAGATAATAAGGGAGTGAACGAGTTGTTTAGTAGTGTCTGGGGTTAGGAACGTACGTATTTTGGAGATGTTGCGGAGGTGGAGCCTGCATGAGTTTGCCAACGATTGGACATGGGGTTGGAAGGACAGGTTTGAGTCTAGAGTGACACCTAGGACTTTGGCTTGCGGGGTGGGACTGATGGTGGCGTTGTCAGTCGTGTTGGAGAGGGGGGGCGCGGGCTGGGGGGAAAATCAGGAGCTCGGTTTTGGAAAGGTTCAATTTGAGGAAATGGAGCGATATCCAGTCTGATATGTTGTTCAGTAGGTGGGTGATACGGGTGGAGACTGAAGGGGTGAGGCGAGGGGTGGAGAGGTAAATTTGCATGTCATCGGCTTAGAGATGATAGTTGAAGCCGTGGGAGTGTATCAGTTTGCCGAGGGAGGAGGTGTAGATGGAGAAGAGAAGGGGCCCGAGGACAGAGCCTTGGGGGACCCCAACAGAGAGAGGGAGAGAGGGGGAGGTGGTAGCGTTATAGGTAACGCTGAAGGAGCGTATGGATAGATAGGAGGAGAGCCAGGAGAGAGCGGAGTCTCTGATGCCGAGGGAGTGTAATTTATTAAACTTATCAAACCTTTTAAAACTAGAAGTGTCTATTTGACTTTGTTTCACATTGTTGCTAAATGCCCAACTTCCCCTGACTCTTAAAGTGTTACTAAACTCAGGACCCTGCATTCACTATATCTGGTCTCCCACAGTACACAGAACATGGAAGTGCAAATATTTTAGTAAATATAAACTGCTAAATACCTTTTCTCATCAGCAGTTAGAGCAGTCTTGTGACTTCAGCAGAGCACTGGTTAAAGCTTGTAGGAGTTTTCTTTCTACTCAAGGAGGATGCAAAACCCCTGACCTCTGTCTGGACAGTGCTGATTGGCCCTGTGCTGATCAGATGCACTCTTCCAAGAATAAAAAAACCTCTCTAGCAATACACACTAAAAACTAAGCATATGCAGAAGGGCTACGGGTTCAGTCTGTCTTATCAGGTGGACATCTGAACAAGAGGAGGGACAGAGAAAACAGGATCAAATGGCCTTTTTACAAAATCTAGAGGATTAACCCCTTAGGTTTCACAGTGAGTATATCATGCATGCTTTACTGCATATACAGACTGATTTTACTCTTGTGGGTTTAGTAACACTTTAAGCTAACCCTTGCCTAATTGCATTATCCAATGCAATGAGAGTACTTTGGTAGCAGTTAAGGGAACTCTTATTGAAAGAAGAGAAGTCAAAAAAAAAATTGTGGCACTTAAGTTGGCCATAGATGGATTGAAATTCAGCTGGTTCAGCAGGGACTGGACAAAGTTCGATCCATCCATGGCCATTCCCACTCGACAGAAGTTGGTCTATCCACTTTTGTCAAACAGAATGTTGGAAACTTTTCATTCGATCAGTGGCTGCAGAGCTGATCAGTATACTTGAACAGTGGAGGAGACCTGCTGTCAAAATACAACAGCACAGCAGGGAGGATTCCTCCATCCATCTCACTTTTGTAGATGGGGAAATCCACATCTATGACCAGCTTTAGTCAGAGAGGTGCATAGAGCAGCACTGTTTGTTTAATAGAGGTAATAGCTGGTATCTTGTAACATATTTGTCTTAAAACTCTGTCCAAAGATATTGCTTGGAAAAACAGACAGGACAGGCAAGGTCAACAAACAAAATTGCACAACAATGCTAGAGTGTTGGTGTACTTATATTTAAAGATGTAAATATTCATGAATCATTGTATATGATTTTTCCTATATTTTCAGTTCCAATATTTAACACAATATTGGAAGCCTTGTCTTTCAGATCTGTGTCTTCCTGACATAATATAATTGAAAAACCTAGTAAATTCTGTGTGTGGCATTACTAGAAATGGAAAGAAAACAGCTGTAAAAGCCAAAAAAAAAAAACAAAAACATTTGTACAACTCCAGAGAGGAGTAAGGTGTAAATAATATTCATGAGAATAAAGTGCTTTTGAATAGGGACATCAAAAAGGGTTAAAAAGATAAATATTCAGTAGTGCTCATGCAGTTTAGGTTTCATTTGTTATTCTCCTAGAAGTCAATCGCAAACTTCTGGTTTCATAAGCAGTAAGAGCCAAAAGTGCATACACATCGGATCACCGAGTACTCTGAAACCTCTTGGATTGGATGTTACACATCCACCTATAAAAAACTTATTTTATAACACATTGTAGAATTGATCTCTAACACTTACCATGTGCTAGACGTTGGTAGCAAATTTGATGTATATGATACAGCAGCAATAGTGAAATTTTGCAGCCCACTTCCTCCCATAATGAATGCAAAGCCACCATGAGGTACTCTGGAACTAAACATACAAACCAAGGCTTAACAGACATGTAAAAACCTAATATGATGCAATAGTAGTAACACATACAAGATTGACAAATGGAGTATTACTATTATAAATGAATTTAAAGAGTAACATGAACTACTCATAGGAGTTGTACAACACTTAACAAAAAGAAAACAGATTTTTATATATGTGCAAATGTGGAGGCTCTCGTAGACTAGAGCTAGGCACCACACTACACACTTCTGAAATGAAACAGTGCGGCTTTCAATACATTTGCATACGCTATACAACTAAAACCTCTGGTTTTTAACACAAATTGTTAGGGTTTTTTTTTTTATGCAGACTAGCTTAAAGTGATTCTAAAGGCTTACATTTTTTAAAAAAAATAACAAACATGTTAATACTTACCTGCCATGTGCAGTGGTTTTGCATAGAGCAGCACAGATCTTCCTCTTTCCAGGTCCCCTGCCAGCGCTCCTGGCCCCTCCCTCCTGTTGGGTGCCCTCACAACAAGCAGTTTGAAATGGGGGCACCCGATGCTTCGTGTGTCCATTCACACATGGACTGGCGGCTCAGCTTCGCCCCCCCTCTCTTCCCACTAGCTGTGATTGACAGCAGTGGAAGCCAATGGCTCCAGCAGCTGTCTCAGCCCATGAGGAGAGGGAGTCCTGGGATAGCTGAGACTCCACTGCACACCGCTGGATCGAGAGGGGGCTTAAGTGAGTATTGGGGGGGGATGCTGCAGAGAATGCATGAAGATAAAAAACCTTAAGCCTTTAGAACCACTTTAAGTGTGCTGGGAAAAATTTTGTTTTGTTTGCCCTGTGCAAAGCCCTTCCATGTGCACCTTATTTTAAAGCTAGTGATAAGTTGGGGTGGCTGCCATTTTTGTTTATATACACTGCTAAAAAAAAATTAAAGGAGCACTTTGAAAACACATCAGATTTCAATGGAGAAAAATATCATGCTGGATATCTATACTGATATGGACTGGGTAATGTGTTAGGAACTTAAGGATACCCTGTTTGATGGAAATGACAATTATCAACCTATAGAGGACTGAATTTAAAGACACTGCAAAAAATGATCCAGCAGGCAAGTCCATTTTGCTGAAATTTTATTGCAGCAACTCAAAATGGTACTCAGTAGTTTTTATGGCCCCCACATGCTTGTATGCATGCCTGACAATGTCGGGGCATGTTCCTAATGAGACAATGGATGGTGTCCTGGGGTATTTCCTCCCAGGTCTGGACCAGGGCATCACTGAGCTCCAAAACAGTCTGAGATGCAACCTGGCGGTGTCAGATGGACTGAAATATGATATCCCAGAGGTGTTCTATTGGATTTACCCACATGGAAGAAAAATATATTTGAAATATATTTTTTAAATATTCTTCCCAAATATATTGACATATATTTGAAATACTACAATATATGTATGTTGAAAAACATTTTTATTAAAAAATATATGAAAAATATTTTTAAAAATACATTTTCAAATATACTGTATGTCTTTAAAAATACAAATCTACATTTTTGGAATGCATTTACAAATATATGTTAAAATGACTTTTTTATATGTTAAAAAAATCTGAAGAATATATTTTAAAAATATATATAATTAAAAATATATATTTTTCAAATATATTCTTCAGATTAAAAAAATGTTCCTTTAATTTTTTTTAAGCAGTGTACTTTAGGGCTGCATTTACATGGGCGACTAGCGCCAATCTGAATGATAGTGACAGGGATCTGCTGATATCCGTAGCTGTTTTTGCCACTTAGCAGAAAACTGCCACTGTCATTTGAACCATAGCTAATCCCCCATGTAAATGTAGTTTAAAAATCCTTGCTCTTGAAAAAGCTTTTTTGCAAACTTTCATGTTTTTTTTTTTGCACTGAGGAGAGGCTCTAGCCACTCTGCCATAAAGCCCAGATCGGTGGAGGCTGCTGAAGTGATGGTTGTCCTTCTGGAATGTTGTCCCATCTCCACACAGAATCACTGGAGCTCAGAGTGACCATTGGGTTCACTCTCTCACTAAGGCCCTTCTCCCCCCGTTGCTCAATTTGGCTTGGTGACCAGTACTTTCAAGAGTCCTGGTTCTGCCAAACTTCTTTCATTTGAGAATTATGGAGGCCACTGTGCTCTTAGGATCCTCCAGTGCAGATTTTTTTTTTTTTGTAGTTTCCGTCAGATCTATGCCTTGCAATAATCAATGTCTCTGAGCTCTGCATGCAGATCCTCTGTCCTCATGGCTTTTTCATATACAGTGTGCATTGCTGTGAAGCCTTTTATAGAGAGCTGTGTGCCTTTCCAAATCATGTCCAATCAATTTAATTTACTCCATTCAAGGTGCAGGAACATCTCAGCAATATCCAAGAGAAATGGGAGGCACCTGAGCTAAATTTCAAGTTGCAAAGGATCTAAATAATTAAGCCAATGTGATACTTCAGTTTTTTCTTTTTCATAAATTTGCAAACATTTCTAAAATCCTGTTTTCACTTTGTCATTATGGGTTATGGAGTGTAGATTAATGAGGAAAAAAAATTAATTTGGACAACTGTAGAATCAGGCTGCAACATAAAATTTAAAAAAGTTAAGGGGGTCTGAATAGGTTATGAATGCACCGTACCTTCTATTTTCCCGGTTAATACTTAAAATTATATTTACTAGTTGCCCACCCCCCCATAGCAGAAATACTGCTACAGGGTGGCAGGGCTGCGCAAACTCACACACATATATATATATATATATATATATATATATATATACACACACACACACATTATTTGCAGTTCCGGGTAGGGGACGCACGAGCCGCCCTAGGCAGCTACGGATGTGAATCTCCGGGTCCCGGTCAGAGATTCTCAGTTGACACCCGGCGATCGCCGAGTAACACTGACAGAGGAGAGACCTGTGTGTAAATAACACAGGTCTTTCTCCTGCCAGCAGTAACATGCTGCTGTGCATAGCAGAGAAATACACAGCAGCATGTTTCCCAAGTAAAGCACACACAGCACATGTTGTAAAACACAGCACAGCACACAATTAACCCTTTGTCAGTTAAAGTAACGCAGCGCCGTATCGAAAAAATGGCCTGGTAGGGAGGGGGGTAAATCCTCTGGAGGGCAAGTGGTTAAAGGCATTTTTTTTTTTATATAACAGACATGTATGTCATACTTACCTACTCTGTGCAGTGGTTTTGCACAGAGCAGCCCTGATCCTCCTCTTCTTGGTTCCCCCGCATCCTACCTTCTTGCCAAGTGCCCCCAGAGCAAGCAGCTTGCTATGGCAGCACTTGGGCTTGATCCCGAGCCACTGCTCTGCATATCCATTTACACACAGAGCTGTGGCTCGACCCTGCCCACTCTCTCTCCTCAATGGTTCCCGCTGCTGTCTCAGAAAATGAGGAGGGAGAGTCCCCAGAGAGAAGAGGGCTCTTGTGTACATTGCTGGATTGCGATGGAGCTCAGGTAAGTATTAGGGGGGCTGATGCACACTGGTTTTTTACTTTCATGTAAAGAATGTATGAAGGTACAAAACCCTTGAGCCTTTCCAACCACTTTAACCTAGACTGTCTAAAAATATATGTGCATGAAAAAAGTCCATGTGGGTGATCAAACACCTGTGAGTGATTTTTCAGCTGGAAACCAATAGAAACCCTTCGCACCAGATACAGTTAGGTCCATACATATTTGGACACATCTTTTAATTGAATTGTCCAATTACTTTTGGTCCCTTGAAAAAGGGGAGGTACTCTTAAGAGCTGTAATTTCTAAACCCTTCCTCCAATTTGGATGTACATACCATCAAATTAAACCTGACAGTGTGCACATTCAGTCGATATCCATTATATAAATATAGCTTGAATATGTTTTGGTAAATACCTGAGAAAATCTAAAATTGTGCCTGTGTCCCAATATATATGAACCGAACTGTGTGTGCAATCCCTCAAGCAGTGACAATCTCTTTTAGAAAACTGTGCAATCCACAATATCTGTGTGCTCTTCCCTCCCTTCAAAATAACTCACCAGAAAGATGTGACCTTTCATAATAAGGTCATTAGCACTTGCATAGGCAATCTCAGATCCCAGCTGATCCACTCATGTGTCCTTAAAGTAGTTGTAAACCTTTGAAATGTAAAATAAACAAAGCATATCCTGATATAAAGTGTACTTGCTTCAATCCACAGCGCCTAGTGTGGAATCCTGGGGTGCAGTGTGTGATGTCAGATCCCCACCCCTGTCTTATATGTTCAAATTAATACAAGACCACCATCCAACATACTGTATATCACCGAGCACACAGGAAAATTACATAACCTTATGTTTACCAGTCTGGGAATATGAAGATTTTTCGTTTAAAGCACTTCCTGGACATTGCATCAGCAAACCAGACTGTACCATGTAAGCACAAAGGACAAACCCCTGGGACCTACATGAGGTGACAAAATAAGACTGCTCTCTTCTGTATTAGGTCAGGACAGGTTAACTGGCAGCTTCATTTATGTGGAAATTTACACTAGCATTGCACTAAAACATATTTTAGTTAAAGCTGTATTAATATAAAAATTTATAAAAATGCTGACAGGCAGGGTTTTTATGGCAGAAGAGACCTTAAATGAGTCTTCTGTCATAAATGCTCCCCACTGCTTATCAGTTGTAATGTACACTGAGCTACACATGCACAGCTCAGAGTACATTTACAGCACTTGCTCTGTGCCATGCATGGGAGTGACTTTATAACAGTCCAACCAGATAAACAGAGAGAACGTGGAAGAAAGACTGGGAGAACATGGGAGCACTGAACACTAACACTGAAACATCCTTCAACAAGGAAGTGTCACAATGTACTAGTATGGGTTGCATAGTTGTACATCATGGCATATTCCTGCAGTGGAACATATTCCACTGCATATTCCTGCAGTGGAACCGTTAATAAAAAATAATTTTCACAGAGTTTAATACAGAATTGATATGCACAAATGTATGGCAAAATCATATTTAAAACACCAATGACTTACTGTATACGAGGTGTGTCTAAAATGTTTGGTGAATGGTATCAGAAAACAAACAAAACAGAAGATAAACAAATTACCTTTATTGGCCTTCAAAATAATTGCCACCGTGCATGACACACTTTGGGCAAAGTTCATAAACCTTTTGGAAACTGTCAGCAAAGGCTTCTTTAAGAATCGATCGTTGACCACTGTCACACATTTTTGGATTGCTGCAAAACATGCAGACGCTCTTCAGGCGGGGAAACAGAAAGAAGACCACAAGCGCCAGATCCAGGGAGTACGGTGGATGATCGAGAACAGGTATGCCGCGCTGAGCCAAGAATTGGCGCACACGGATCGCAGAGTGCATAGGAGCATTATTGTGAAGCAACATCCACTCTCCAGTTCTGTGCAACTCTGGCAGAACAGGAACAAATAACTTATGGATGATGCCATCGTGGTCAAAGAAGGCAATCAACATTGTCTTGACCTAGGACTTTTGCAGGCAACTCTTCCTGAGTCACAGGGAAGATGGTGAATGCTATTCCATCGATTGCCGCTTGGATTCTGGATCAAACTGGCAGCACCAGGTCTCATTCCCTTTGGTTGCAGAAAGGATGGATGCAGGTTTGAACAAGTTGTAAACACATTTTCTGCTCATGGCTTCCGTTCTGTACACTTGCACCAATATTTCATGCATCTCCATCACTGTTTTCCCCAATTTGCAGCAGAACTTGATGTTCACTCATTGATCAACTGTACTGTGACCCTACCTGACCACATTTGACTGCCTGTAGTGGTATCATCCTGACGGTCATGTGCATTCCATGCTAGGTGGCGCTTCTCAACGTGCCTCTGGATAGCCATGTGCATACGTGCGGACCTGGCCCATGTTGCCGTTGAGATATCAGACCATTCACCGAACCTTTTAGGCATACCTCGTATATATAGTTCATTACGAAAAATGCAACTGAGGCTTTAAATTCCTAATTTAAATTATATTAATGAATAACATTGCTAAACCAATTAGCATACATCAATAAAACAAACCTAAAAGGGTGTATGCACCTTGAAGAGAAGCTGCAGAGAAACAAGCAGGAATAATGCGAACAAGTGCCAGGGTTACAAAGCAAGGAAGAGAGAGATGTGACTAGTTTTGGATGAGATTCTAACAAACGCTTTCATTTATCTATATTCGTAACACTATACTGCTTCATAAACAATATAGCCATCAGAATTCGAGCCATTATTACTCCGAAGCAAGCGTACAGCAGGAGACAAAGATATCTGAGACATTCAGGAATCATAAAAGCTACAATCATAAATGTATTTGTTTTTTACCAGATCCATTGAATTAATTTTATGGTCCGCAGCCAGGGGAAAGAATGTTTGATTTTTTTTTTGCTGAAGTGGTACTAAAGGTATACTCAGCCGGAGATGAGATTGTAATGAATAAACTGCGCAGGAAAGACTGAGAAGCAAAGGAAGAAGGCATATTTATTTCTTTTTAAAAACACCTCTAATGATCAGGGAGCAAGAACTGACTTTTCATTCTGCTGAAGAGTTTGATCTATAATGAATGGCAGAACTGTTCTTTATTTATTTCCATGAACAACACTGACATTTTTTCACACAAGCCAATAAATAAACCCCTTTAAAATTGGAGTGTGTTAAGTTTACAGAATAACTCTTAAATCCTTGTATACAACAGATTCTTGAAATGACAGTAAGTCACAGAGTTTATCTAAAAGCTATTGAAAGGAAAAATGAATGAATGGTTTTTACAGTGCCTGTTATCTATTTTTATGATAATGACAGCATAAACAACATAGGTGGCAGCAACTAAAGTGGTTTCTCTAATTTATTACTCACCTGCCTGTAACAAACTGGAGAAGCAAAACCCTCTCTTCTTGGGTTAGTTCCTGGACAACCTCCCAGAACCACTGAAAAGAAACCACAAAGGACTGTAAAAAAAAAGACTTTTCTGAAAAGCACATTAAGATATATTTTAAAATGAACCCCTTTATATATTTAAGCTATTTTTATATTTAAAGTACATCTATGAGCTCATTCACACAGGCATCTAAAATGCAATTGGATGCATACAGCATACAGTTTTCTACAAATCTAAATGCGCACAAAGAAAGTAAGAAACAGCTCTGTCCCGGGCTGTACACATCTGAATATTTTAGGCACGTAAATACATATATACAGTGGGGCAAAAAAATATTTAGTCAGCCACCAATTGTGCAAGTTCTCCCACTTAAAAAGATGAGCAAGGCCTGTAATTGGCATCATAGGTAGACCTCAACTATGAGAGATAATGAGAAAAAAAATCCAGACAATCACATTGGCTGATTTGGAAAGAATTTATTTGCAAATTGTGGTGGAAAATAAGTATTTGGTCACCTACAAACAAGCAAGATTTCTGGTTCTCACAGACCTGTACCTTCTTCTTTAAGAGGCTCCTCTGTCCTGCATCAAATGGCACCTGTTTGAACTTGTTATCAGTATAAAAGACACCTGTCCACAACCTCAAACAGTCACACTCCAAACTGCACTATGGTGAAGACCAAAGAGCTGTCGAAGGACACCAGATACAAAATTGTAGACCTGCACCAGGCTGGGAAGACTGAATCTGCAATAGGCAAGCAGCTTGGTGTGAACAAATCAACTGTGAGAGCAATAATTAGAAAATGGAAGACATACAAGACCACTGATAATCTCCCTCGATCTGGGGCTCCACGCAAGATCTCACCCCGTGGGGTCAAAATGATCACAAGAACGGTGAGCAAAAATCCCAGGACCACACGGGGTGATCTAGTGAATGACCTGCAGAGAGCTGGGACCAACGTAACAAAGGCTACCATCAGTAACACACTACGCCGCCAGGGACTCAGATCCTGCAGTGCCAGACGTGTCCCCCTGCTTAAGCCAGTACATGTCTGGGCCCGTCTGAAGCTTGCTAGAGACCATTTGGATGATCCAGAAGAGAATTGGGAGAATGTCATATGGTCAGATGAAACCAAAATAGAACTGTTTGGTAGAAACACAACTCATCGTGTTTGGAGGAGAGAGAATGCTGAGTTGCATCCAAAGAACACCATACCTACTGTGAAGCATGGGGGTGGCAACATCATGCTTTGGGGCTGTTTCTCTGCAAAGGGACCAGGATGACTGATCCATGTACAGGACAGAATGAATGGGGCCATGTATCGTGAGATTTTGAGTGCAAACCTCCTTCCATCAGCAAGGGCATTGAAGATGAAACGTGGCTGGGTCTTCCAACACGACAATGATCCCAAACATACCGCCCGGGCAATGAAGGAGTGGCTTCGTAAGAAGCATTTCAAGGTCCTGGAGTGGCCTAGCCAGTCTACAGATCTCAACCCCATAGAAAACTTTTTGAGGGAGTTGAAAGTCCGTGTTGCCCAGCGACAGCCCCAAAACATCACTGCTCTAGAGGAGATCTGCATGGAGGAATGGGCCAACATACCAGCAACAGTGTCTGCCAACCTTGTGAAGACTTACAGGAAACGTTTGACCTCTGTCATTGCCAACAAAGGATATATAACAAAGTATTGAGATGAACTTTTGATATTGACCAAATACTTATTTTCCACCATAATTTGCAAATACATTCTTTCCAAATCAGCCAATGTGATTGTCTAGATTTTTTTTCTCATTTTGTCTCTCATAGTTGAGGTCTACCTATGATGCCAATTACAGGCCTCTCTCATCTTTTTAAGTGGGAGAACTTGCATAATTGGTGGCTAACTAAATACTTTTTTGCCCCACTGTAACACATGTAAACACAGGATCTTCTGCTATCTCTGCCAGCAAGAACCATCCATGCTGAAATATGCCCTTATGAGCATATGAGCAAGCCCTGATCTGAATGTAATTATGTTTGCTACAAATCTGTGTATATTAATTGGATTTTTTCTAAAATGAAAAAGCCATCAAACTAAATTTCCAATGGTTCGGTAAGAATTATTGAAGACAAAGCTGTCTTGAATCATGATCAACGAACGCATTTTGGTAATTTAACCATTAGCCGCCCGGCCAATGGCCGTTTGGCGGCTTCAAAACAGTCTCTGCATTCCGGGTGCATGCCATTTGGCGTGCTCCCGCACATGCGCAGTTTGCGCTAATGCAGAGCGGCGCAGCAGTGCGATCTGTCACCGGCCGTTCACCTCGGACACGGCCGATGACAGATGCGAGTACCGGCTCCCGTTGCTGGTACCATGTGACCTGCTGTGACCAATCACAGCAGGTCACATGACAGTTGTATACAATGGATGGCTTCATTCATGATGCCATCCATTGTATACTAGTGCCTAGCTGTGAATGGTCACAGCTAATCACATGCACATGTCATGTGATTAGCTGTGACCAAATCACAGCTAAGCACAAAAAAAAAAAAAAAAAAAAAAAAAAAAAAAAAAAAAAAGCTGAATGAATCGATTTCATTCAGCTAAATGCTTGCTTATAGTAAAGTAATTCTTTGCTATAAGCAAATTGTGTAAAAAAAAAAAAAAAAAAAAAATACTGATCACTTCCCCAAAGTAGTACAATGTTACTATGGTAACATTGTACTACTTTGGTCATAGTAAAATAAAATATGAAAAATATGTAAAAAAAAATAAATATAATAAAAAAATGTCACCAGTCAGTGTCCCTGTTCACCGCCATGCCAGTTATATGATGACGCTGTACTGCACTGGTGACAATATGTAAAAAAAAAAAAATTGTGAAAATAATTTTTTTAATTTTTTCATTTTCCGAAAAATTATGACAAACAAATACATCTTCAAAAAACTCGCCATGCCTCTTATGAAGTACGTCGGACTGTCTACTCTGCAAAAAGGGGTCATTTGGGGATATCTGTACTGTTCTGACATTCTTGGACCTCAAGAAATTAGATTGGCTGTCAGTACTTCAGGATTGATCAATATTCAGATCTATACCATAGTTTGTGAACTCTATAACTTTCCTGCAAACTAAAAAATACATCCTAATTTGGGTTATTTTCACCAAAGACATGTAGCAGAATACATCTCGGCCTAAATTTATGAAGAACAATTATTTATTTGTAAACTTTTATAACAGAAACAAAAAAAAAAGTGTTTTTTTTTTTTTTTTTCAAAAATTTTGGTATTTTTTTGTTAATTTAGCAAAAAATAAAAACCCCAGCAGTGATTAAATACCACCAAAAGAAAGCTCTAGTTGTGTGAAGAAAATGATAAAATTTTAGTTTGGGTTTCAGTGTTGTATGACCGCGCAATTGTCATTCAAAGTGTGAGAGCGCTGAAACCTGAAAAATGGCCTGGGCAGGAAGGTGTAAAATTGCACGGTATTGAAACGGTTAAACGATAAACTGGCAGTGTTTGAAAAAACATGGGATCCATAGATTCAATACCTAACCTGATACCAGTTGAATTAGAAACATCTCCCCTTGGCCTGGATGCTTGCCCCTACCCTTACTTTCCTTCCTCTTTTTTTTCTCATTACTATGGCTTCTTAAACCCCTGAGCACTTGGGAAATCTCATTCACCTACATATGTATGTTTGAGACTTTGAATTATCTATGGAAATTTATTTGAAGTCCTACTGAGTTTAAAATTGCAGAATTTTGGAGATAATGGACCCTCTTGGGTTAGATAGCCAAGCCAGGGGAGACCTTGCAAATGGCAGATTATGCAGCACTAAGGGACTATTTATAATTTTGTGTTCTCATTAACTTGCTCAATGCTGCAAACAGTTGATGGTCTATTGTACTTTTCTATATTCTATTTCAAGGATTTTATTCAGTAAAACAAGCCAAGAGTACAGACATGTACAATGAGATCACATATCAACTCTTAATGGCAGCATAAAAGGGAAACACACAAGAAAGCATCATGGTTTCTCACGGTAATAATGAATAGAAACGGGGGGGGGGGGGGGGGGGGGATTGATATCACATAAGTCCAATGTTCAGTGAAGCAATCAAAATGCATTACAGAACACTCAATATAGGATAATGAACAAATCATGCAACAGGTAATGATATGGGAAAACAAGCAAAGCCTACATTAAGAAACCGGTAAAACTCTTTTGTATGAGTGGATGTAGGGGATCTGTAGAAATAAGAAAAAGGAAAAGTTTTTGAAAATGGGGTTGGAAATAGGCCAGGAAGTACCTCCGCTTCCTCTCGGGAAAGAAAGAGGTATAGGATCTGGGGTCCGGATTTACTGAGTGAACCAGGTCCGTGTAGACTTGTCGTTCAGATAATCCACTGAGTCTAGATAATGGAACCAACAAGCTCACGTATGGGTGAATTTAGTTAGGGTGTCATGTGCTATGTGTATAAGTTCCTCCATTTTGGTTGTATGACTGATATGTTGGAACCATTCCGCAACAGTCGGGGGATGTGTGGTGTTCCATTTCAATGGAATGCATCATCTAGCAGCATTTACAAGGTGCATAGCTAAAAATCTATGGCAAATAGAACGGGGCAAGGATGAATGATACAGGAGGTATTGGGCAGGTGTGTAATCTTGGTTATATGTAGTGATTTTAGCAATGAGAGCATGAACCATAGACCAATATCATAATTTGGGACATTCCCACCAAATATGCAACAGGAATCCTGGGGCAGAATCACATCGCCAACAGAGAGGTGAAAGAGAGCTAGAAATTTTATGGAGGAGTTCAGGGGTTTTATACCAGGCAGAAAATCATTTCTACCTAGTTTGTTGCGTATTCACATTAACGGAACCCCTATGGGTATGGAACAAGACTCTTTCCCATTCAGATTCAGTAAGATCTAGAGATAAGTGCCTTTCCCATTGCTGACACAGTCTACTGGCCTTCGGCGTAATATGAGAATGGAGATAAATCACTGAGATCATGTGTCTTTGATGGGTCAATCGAGAACAGATGGCTTCAAAAGGCGTAT